CTCGTGCAACTCCTTTTAAACTCCCCCCATCATTTAAATTTTTTTAAAGTTCAGTGATCCGAGACTATCTAACTGTGTCCAGCCCATCTAACTATATCCAGCACTAGGAACCGAAGCCCAAGATGGACCCCATCCTCTCGTACAACTTTTTTATCTCCCCCCCCCCCGCTCCTTTTTATTTTTTTATTCAATAATCTGAGACTAGTGATAGTCTCATATTGCTAGACCCATACTGCTTGTCAAAAAAAAACACTGAAACAAGGAGGGGAAAATTTATAAAAGTAGCTTGTATGCCAGTGAAGGGGGAGGAAGGCAGAAGGTGCAGAGTGGGTGGAATGACCTCGATGTGAGTGAGGGGTGGGCTTTGAGTGGCAGCAAAAGCACCTGGGGGGAGGGAATCCAAGGGAATCTGTACGCGTTTGAATTACCTTCGGCTTGGAATTGAAATGGGGCGAAATTCAGCACAAAAGGGCTCTCAGAAATCCCGGGGAAACAGCGACCAGAAAGCAAACTGAGTGCTGAAGGAAGGAGAATCAATGCAGAAAGAAAAAGAAAACCTGATGGATGTGCCCAGTGAAAGTGAGAGAAAGCACCAGTGCATAATAGGCCAAGATTTAATCCTGGGTACAACCTTTCACGTGCATTCACATGAAAGCTTACACCTAGGATTAGATTTTGTTGGTCTTAAAGGGGCCCCTGGCCTCAAGCTTTGTAAGACTGGCACAATGTTCCTCTTCTTGAAGTCATTTTTCTGCTCAGTTGACACTTGGTTCCACTAGTCCCTGACTTCTGAGATTTCATTGGGTGTTGCTTAAAGATACCTGCATAGGCCTGAGAGTTGATATCCTCAGAAAGCTGGATTTTACACCCAATGCCCTGTGCTATGTTCTGTTTCTTCTTCCTCTCTGCTCTTCCCCTACATGCAGCCCAGAATACATTTGCTATAATGCCTCCTAACATAGATGTTTTGGAACCAAAAAAAACACACCACCATCTGTTTTTAACACGCTTTCATCTAGTTGCCCAGGGAAGATAGAAGATTGGCTTGACTTGCTGTTTGTTCCTGATTGCCTAATTTTAGAGATGAAATCGGATACAATTGACATAGAATGGGATTTCTGCTAAGCTTTTTCTTTTTAAATCAAAGCGTGGCTGGCTTGGTTCCCACCCAACTTCTGGAGGGCTGTGTTGCTAACAGCAGGTGGCGACCCCTTGATCCTTATCTTCCCAGCTGCCAGTGATTCAAGACAGGAGCCTCATAACTTTTTAATAGTATACCCTTGGTTAGCTTTTAAAAAATTGAATTTTGCCCTGACCTGGATAGCCCAGGCAAGCCCAATCTCATCAGATCTTGGAAGCTAAGCAGAGTCGACTCTGGCAAGTACTTGGATGGGAGACCTCCTTGGAATTCCAGCAGTCGGGAGGACGGGGGCAGGCTTTATTCAGCCACCTCCCTGAATATCCTCCAGGCCCCCAGTAGGGGTCAGTCACCAGTGGTCACCATGACTTCCAGGTGCACACACGCTCACACACACATGCATGCCCGCACACACGGAAAGTACAGAAAAAAACAAAACAAAAAAGAATTTCAAAGCTCTGTCCTGGACATATGTTCCTCCCAACCCCCAAAGTTACTAAAATTATGTCTAGGTGGTCCTACTACCAGTTTTGCCGGAACGATATCTTTTTTGCTCCAATGTGTCACTTTTAACCCTGGTTTGTGTGTCGTTTACTCTGGGTACAAAATGCACATAGCCTGGACTGTACTTTTTAATCCAGTACATCTGGCAGTGCTCTCTACACTTCTAGCCGTTGTGTGTTTCTGCTCTGGAGGCGTGGCAAACTGTACTGTAGGATGTCTGATCCAGTTATGCGGTCAGGGGCAGAATTGTGATCAGATCATGATGGTGTGCTCTTTGAAGCCTCGGGAGTCAGTTGCTGGAGAAGGAAATGGGATCCAACTGGCAAGGAGGTGCCTTATACCAAGTCAAACCAATATAGCTTTCTTCAGGGCTATTTTTGAGCAGGAACGCACAGGAACGGAGTTCTGGCTGGTTCCCGAGTTGGAACTCATTAGCATAATAGGCCACACCCAACAGCAGAAACTCATTAGGAGTGGCTACATTAGGGGTGTGTGGCCTAACATGCAAAGGGTTCCTGCTACAAAAAAAGGCCCTGGGTTTTGACAACAAAGTAAACAGAATAAGAAGCAAAAGGTGGGTGTGGCTGGATGACCACACTTCTGGTAACACGGGTGTGTGGCCTAATGTGCTAATGAGCTGCTCTCAGGGTGTGGCCTAATATGCTAATGGGTTTCTGCTGTTGGGTGTGGCCTGTTATGCTAATGAGTTCCTGCTGGGCTTTTTCTACACAAAAAGCCCTGGCTTTCTTTGTATTGACTAGCATTTGTGTAACAAGGCTTTTTTAAAGTGGAGATGCCAGGGATAGAACCTGGGACCTTCTGTATGCCGAGCAGGTGCTCTGCCACTGAGCCACAGCCCCTCTCCTTAACAAGAACCATGAAGTTGCCTTTTCTGAAATCAGATCATTGGTCTCTCAAGGTCGTATTGTTTATTTGGACTGGCAGCAGCTCTCCAGGATCTCAAGTACAGGTCTTTTTTTTTTTTTAACTGGATCTTTTAAACTGGAAATGCTGGGAATTGAACCTAGGGCCTTCTGCATACAGAGCAGGTGTTCTACCTGGAGGTGCCAGGTCTCCTGCCCTCCCAGCAATCCCCTCTGTTGCTTGCCAGTGCCTCAAAGGCCAGCAGGGGGAAATGGGGTGGGATTTAGCTATAGAGCAGGTGTGGCCAAACTGCGGTTTGGGAGCCACATGCGACTCTTTGACACATATTGTGTCGCTCCCAGCAGGGTGGCTGGGGAAGTGAAGGGGAGGCATGCCTCCCTGATTGGTCTTCTCTTCCCCAGCGAGTGTTCCCCTCCCTTGGTAGCCTTTAGGTGGGGAGGGGGGCAGAGAAAGAAAGCAACTTTAACTTTAAATGTGTTCTCAAAGCCCCCCCTCCACCGGCCAGTTTGGAGAAGGCATTTGTCTCTTTAAATCCCTTCTCCAAGCCAAGCCGACTGGCATGGGGCCTGGGGGGGTTGGAGAATGCATTTAAAGTTAAAGTTGCTTTCTTTCCACCTGTCCCTCCCTCCCTTCCTCCCCATTTATTTGCTTTCTTTCCACTGCTCTCTTCCACCCTCCCTCTCCCTCCCCATCTATTTGCTTTCTTTCCACCTCTTTCTCTCTTTCCACCTTTATTGCTCTTTCTCCCTTCCTTTCTCTCTTTCTCTTCCTTCCTTCCTCCTCCCTCATCTATTCTCTTTCTCTCTCCCCCCTTCCTCCCCTCTCTACCTCCCTCTATTTGCTTTCTTTGTTTCTGTCTCTCCTTTCTTTCCACCTCTTTCATTCTTTCCACCTTTCCACCTTTCCCTCTTTCTTTCTTTCTTTCTTTCTTTCTTTCTTTCTTTCTTTCTTTCTTTCTTTCTTTCTCTCTCTCTCTCTCTCTCTCTCTCTCTCTCTCTCTCTCTCTCTCTCTCTTTCCCCTTCCTCCCTCCCCCCCATCTATTTGCCTCCCCCCCCTCTATTTGTTTGCCTGCCTTCCTTCCTTCCTTCCTTCCTTCCTTCCTGCCTTCCTTCCTTCCTTCCTTCCTTCCTTCCTTCCTTCCTTCCTTCCTTCCCCATCTATTTGCTTTCTTTGTTTCTCTCTGTCTTTCTTTCCACCTCTTTCTTTCTTTCAACCTTTCTCAGACAAATAAATATAATTAGCGGACAAATAAAAATCATTATCAATACCTGTTTATTTATTTTTGGCAGTCTCATTTAATGGTAATAAAAAGCAAATTTGCATATTTCCCAGTAAAAACGTGTAATATTCGTTCATGTCTTGCGGCTCTCAAACATCTGACCTTTAGTCTATGTGGCTCTTACGTCAAGCAAGTTTGGCCACCCCTGCTGTAGAGTTTTGGCAAATCCTGGAACAATGCCCTGCTGTCATCACATCACTTCCGGTTTTCCCTGAAAGTGATGCAACACACCAGCACGATGCTAGTGTGTTTGTCCTGCCCCCCTGATCCTTCTCTACCACTGAGTCTCCCCCAACTTGAGGTCTCACTACCCTTCCCCTCTCTGTAATATAGAGATTAAAAAACGATCCCTGAAAGAAAGTGCATGAGCCAGTTTGGTGAAGTGATTAAGAGTGGAGGGCTCTAATCTGGAGATCTGGGCTTGATTCCCCGCTTCTCCACATGCAGCTGCTGGTGTCACCTTGGGTCAGTCATAAGTTCATTCAGAGCTGTTCTCTCAAGGGCAGTTCTTAAGAGAGAGCTCTCAGCCCCTCCTACCTCACAGGGTGCCTGTTGTGGTGAGAGGAAGGGAAGGAGATTGTAAGCTGCTCTGAAACTCCAAATAAAGGGCGGGGTATAAATCAAACTCTTCTTCCTCCTCTTCCTCCTCCTCCTCCTTAAGTCCTGTATGAATGATGAGTAGTTAGCTCATGCAATTCGTTGTCATAAGCTGCAGCCGTGGCCAGTGACCTTTTTAAAAGAGCGAGACAAGACAGATTCATGGAATATGGGTTCACCCATGACTGTTAGTCATGATCATATAACAGAACCTTCAGGTTCAGGGGCAGTGTACCTTGAAGTAGCACATGTTGGGGAGAAACAGCAGGGAAGACTGTTCATTTCTCTATTGCTTCCCCCCCTGGGGGGGGAACACATTCTGCTTTAAGTAGTTTATGGTCCATAAAAATTATAAAGTATAATAGAGCTAAAAATAAACTACGAAATCAACAAAGGGTAGAAGCATTTTTTAAAAACCATGCAGCAAGCTTGAGAAAAGTCACACGGAAGATAACTTTCAATGAAAAGCTGCTGCTTGCAGACACTGTTGATTTCTTTCTTCGCTTTGGAAGCAGAGCACCTTTGCATGGGACACAGTGGTCTTCTGGCAGAGTGTAATTTTCTGATTCTGTGCCCTCCCCCCCCCCTTACTGCAGATGTTCATTGTCGACAAGATAGAAGGAATTAATTGCAGCCTTCACGAGCTCACCATCACTGGATCCACGTATGCCCCCGAAGGACAAGTGTGAGTACGGATCCGTTTTCCCACCACCTTTATTTATTTGTTTGTTTATTTATTACTTGCATTTATATCCTGCCCATCCTGCAGGCGGGCTCAGGGCGGGTAACATCACTGAAATAGATACAATTTCAGTTTAAAACATTAAACATGAAAACACAATAAAACGTTATAACAGTTAAAACAATGGGTACAGCTTGAAAGAGCATAAGTTGGCTACAAAGTTCTGACCTGATGGTATAACGAGTTAAAGGCTGGTTGTCGGTGGTCAGTAGACGGGTGACAGATGGGTGACAACCAGTGTTCCCTCTAAGCTGAGTTAGTGTGAGCTGGCTCACAGGTTTTTAGCCTCCAGCTCACAGATTTTGGTCTTAGCTCAGGAAGGACGGCTCCAGAGCAAACTAATGTATGCAGTAGTCAAATCGTCTGCTCACAACTTTAATGCCAGTAGCTCACAAAGTAGCCTTTTTGCTCACAAGGCTCTGCAGCTTAGAGGGAACATTGGGACAACAACCTCGGGGAAGGCCATACATGGGCACCCGCTGCCTCAACCAAAGGTCTGGCGGAAGAGCTCCGTCTTGCAAGCCCTGCGGAATTGAAGGAGATCCCGCAGGGCCCTGGTCTCAATAAAGAGCATGTTCCACCAGGCTGGGGCCAGGGCAGAGAAAGCCCTGGCCCTGGTTGAGGCAAGACGGGCATCCTTTGGGCCAGGGAGCACCAGGAGGTGCTGATCTTTCGAGCGTAACGCTCTTCGAGGCGTACATGGGAAGAGTCGGTCCCTTAGGTATGTTGGCCCCAGGCCGTGTAAGGCTTTGAAGGTCAAAACCAACACCTTGAAGCGAATCCGGTGGGATTTTTTTTGAAAGACATTTTAACTTGGATGATTTAAAAAAACCCAGCCCCGCAAGTTGCGAGCAGCACCTCAGAAGAGCCGTTCCCTCCCACACAGGAGAGAGAAGACAAAGGGGAATGCCTCTTCTGCGTAGGGAGGCCAGCCTCCAGGGGGACCTGGGGGCCTGAATGACAGCTCATCTCCAGACTACAGAGATCAGTTCCCCTGGAGAAAACGGACCCGCTGGAGGCTGGACTCTGTGGTATTGTACCCCACTGAGGTCCCTGTCCTCCCCAGGCTCCACCCCCCCAAATCTCCAGGAGTTTCCCAACCTGGATCTGATAAACCTACCTTCCCATCCGCCACTGGTGGCCAGGCAAGACCTCGCAACCCTCCTTCAAAGGCAAGGAGTAAAAGAGGCATTCCGGCATTCCCTCATGTAGGTGAAACAAAGAGGAATGTCTTGTTGCCACATACCTAGGCATCCACTAAAACAAGGCAGAAACAGAATGCCTCTAATTTTGTGCAAATTTCGTACACTAAAACAGCCACAGTGAGTTTTATTTATTGTTTAATCTAGTGCCAGCTTTAAATGTGCAGAACAGAACTGAAAAGGATATTTTTCCTATTTTTCCCTTGCCTCCATCTCCCCCCTTCTCTGTGGTTCCCCCTTTATGATGTATTTTAGATTGTAAGCCCCTTAGGGCAAGGAGGTATCATCTTGTAGTCCATTTTGTAAAGCGCCATGTACATAAAAAGGTAAAGGTTCCCTTGCTCAAAAGCCAGTCGAATCCGACTCTAGGGTTGCGGTGCTCATCTCCGTTTCAAAGCCGAAGAGCCAGCGCTGTCTGAAGACATTTCCGTGGTCATGTGGCCGGCATGACTAAACACTAAGGCGCACGGAATGCTGTTACCTTCCCACTGAAGCGGTACCTATTTATCTACTTGCAATTTCTTGCTTTCGAACTGCTAGGTTGGCAGGAGCTGGAACTAGAGACGGGAGCTCACTCCGTCATGTGGCACTCGGGTCTCCAACTGCTGAACTACCGACCTTCCACAGCCTGCATTATGATAGGAGTTGGAGAGAGCGAGATATTTTTCTCCAGGCCAGTTTGGCCAGGGATCCTGGAGGGTTTTCTGCCACTTCTGGGCATGGAGGGGGGGGTCACTGGGGGTGTGGGGGGAGGTATTTGTGATGACCCTCAAGCTCCCTTCCAACTCTATGATTCGATAGCTATATCCATTGCACCTAAGACCCCAAACTGAGCAGCTCTCTGTCAAAAAAGAAGCTGCGGAACGGGGCACCAATCAGACTGTTAGGTGCTTGACTTGTGCATCCACACCGGTTGTGCCTTAGGGATGGATGGAGTTAAATATCCTTTCAGCCCTGGGATGCACCATGTGGCAAGTGAAGAGTACAGGAAGATCCCTTCCCAGAGCCTTGCCAGCTCCCCCTCTGTTTGCTTTTGTTTCCATGAACCTTCTAGCCGTCTGTGGTCGTTCTTTCAATAATATTAAAAAAAACCAAAAAAACAAGCTCTTCATTTCTCCCTTCTGTATTCCTCTCCAGATGGTCTGGGGTTCTTCCTTCCAGGATCTAAACAAAACGGGATACTCGAGTCCGATTCGGGTCTTAGTAGCCTACAATTTGCTCTTGTGTAATCACGGACCGATTTCTCACAGCCACTGCTCTGCGCTTGCTCCTCTCTTTGCCCCGATGGTACGTGTCAATTTCCTATTCGAAGCCGCGTGGCCGCATTTTGACCCACAGCTTTGCCTGATTTCCCCCGCAGTTTCGTGATCCTGTTTTTTGAGGATCACGAAACTGCGGGAAAAGTCGGGCAGAGCCGCAGGTCAAAATGCGGCCGCGCATCTTCGAGTGGGAAATTGACACGTACCATTGGGGCAAAGACAGGAGCGAGCGCAGAGCAGCGGCTGTGGGAAATCGGTCACGGTGATGTTAGCCGTTCCAATCCAGTGTTTTAGCTTTTTTTTTTTTTCACATAGAGGATTTTACAACAGGGAGGGCTAGGAGGATGTTCATCAGCTTCAAATGCTGTTCAGCACCAGACAAAATTCTGCGCTGGTGGTCTCCCCTGCAGCCCGAGATTTTGTCCTGGCGGTCAATGGTTGCAGATGGAGCTCTTCTCAACCATGAGGACCAGAAACCAGATCTTCTTTCCAAAATAGCTTTGCAAGACAGCATGACATACCAGCTTTTTAAACTGATACACTGGTAATCCCACCCACTGAGGAGAAGCAGTACCTCGGTAGTTGAGCACATGCTCTGCTGTGCAGTCTTCAGTGCAGTTAGTTAAAGGTAAAGGATTCCCTTGCTTGAAAGCCAGTCAAATCCGACTCTAGGGATGCGGTGCTTATCTCCGTTTCCAAGCCAAAGAGCCAGCGCTGTCCAAAGACGATTCCCTGGCCATGTGGCCGGCATGACTAGACGCCGAGGCGCACGGAACGCTGTTACCTTCCCACTGAAGCGGTACCTATTTATCTACTTGCAATTTCTTGCTTTCAAACTGCTAGGTTGGCAGGAGCTGGAACTAGAGACGGGAGCTCACTCCGTCATGTGGCACACTCGGGTCTCGAACTGCTGAACTACCGACCTTCCAGCCTGCAGTTCAGCATCTTAACCACTGAGCCACCGCAGCCTCTCTCTGTTCAGTTAGTCCAGTTGAAACCCACTGGAGTCAGTGGGCAGAGTATGGAGTAACTTGCACCGTTTATCCTGCAGTATGTTTGCAAAATATGACATGGCAGCACTGGCGTATGAAGCAGAGGCTTGGTCCCTTGGTGTTCATGTGCATGTGTGATAGAAACAAGATGAGCTTTGATTTGTTACTGGGATATTTTATTTCTGGAGTTCCCGAGGAGGGAGCCGAACCTGGAAGAGTGGCAGATCAAATGTCATGCACGAACAAAGGCAAGAACAGAGATCAAACGGAGTAGAGGTAAACTAGGTTCCAGGAAAGGGATAGTGCATGATAAATCAGGACAATGGAGAGTGTGGAGACTGGGCCTTGCGGGCAGATTGCATAGGACTGGTATACTTTTGTCCCCCTTGATGGTCTATATAAGAGTGCAAGGAAACTCAGATGGCCGGTATCCCAGATGCACATACCTAAAGCAGCTTCAAAGTGGTGTAGACTCAGGGATAAAATAGAGACAGTGTGGTCTAGTGGTTAGTGTTGACCTAGCACCAGGGAGATGTGGGTTCAAATCCTTGCTCAACTTCGAAGCTCATCAGGTGGCTTGGGCCAGTTTCTTTCTCTCAGCCTGATATACCTCATGGGTTAGTTGGAAGGATGGAATGGGAAAGGAAGAACTGCGTTTGCCACCCTGATATGATAGGTGTACTGACTTGCAGGCTCTGGGTATCAGGTTGCAGTGCCTTGTTCTGCTTCCCAAGATAACAAAGCCAGAGGAAGTTTTTGAAGTCCAGTGAAGTCCAAGGTCAGAGTTTCAGAATTCAATCAAAGGGGCTCTGGGGCAAGTGATGCTCTGTCTTCTTGGTGCTTGGGGGGGCCAACAGTGGGAGGGCTTCTAATGTCCTGGCCCCACTGGTGGACCTCCTGATGACACTGGTATTTATGGCCACTGTGTGACACAGAGTGTTGGACTGGACGGGCCTTTGGCCTGCCAACATTGGCGTCTCTTATGTTCTTATGTTCTAAAGCAGTGTCGTTTGGTCCAAGGTTAGGAGTTCAGAATTCACTCAAAGTTTGGTCCAAGGTTAGGTTTCCAGGAATCAGTTCAGCATCTAATGTACGGGTTGCATCCATGCCCAAAAAGCCTCTCTCAGGAGGCTTTATAGCCATACACCCAAGCTTCATGCCTCCAGCCACCTGCTCAGGAATAGTCCTGCAAAGACTCATCGTCATTATCAGCTGGCAGTGAGCCAGGAAGCGTGCACTTTGTCATCTGACCTGTAGCTCAGTTCTCAGCCTTTGTCTGTGGCATTCCAAAGGTGCAGTTGATCATGGAGGGCTGGGAGCGGTCAACTGACTTTCACCTGCTGAATCGGGGCTGGAGGATGGAGGTGGTTCTGCACCACCTGTTGACTGTAAGCCCTGGCGTGCCTGCAGCTCATTTTCCTGCTGGTCGCCTTCTGTCAGTTCTGGGCTGGCTACCCAGGACCCCTCCTCCTCCTCTGAGGAGACCTCACCAATGCTCTCCCTAATCTGTGGAGTCTTGTGAGCAAAAATACTACTTTGTGAGCTACTGGCATTAAAGTTGTGAGCGAGCAATTTGGGTACTGCATAAATTAGTGTGCTCCGGAGCCATCCTTTCTGAGCTACAACAAAAATCTGTGAGCCAAAGGCTAAAAAACTGTGAGCTAGCTCACACTAACTCAGCTTAGCGGGAACAGTGGACCTCACTATCGCTGAGCCCTGGCTGACCCAGCACACCAGGTCAAAAAAGGGACAGTAAATTGCCGGGGACAGGTACCGGAAAAGGGGGTTTGGTTCTGGTAAATAGGGACATTTGGGGTGTGTTGCTGTCCTGTTTAACCCCCATCTGTGTTTCATCTAGCGTACCTCTGTGCCTGATGTTATCAGTCTGTACCATTCAGGTAGCTTCATACCGGACTTTGGGCACTCCCCGAGGTATTCTGTGTGTCTTTAGTGAAGCTTCTTTAGTGAAGTCATCCATCATCTGTCAGTTTTATGAATGCAGAATATTTTGGTGTTGTCCTTTCTTGACTTTTGTCCTGTTCCCACTCTTGGTATTCTTTAAAAAAATCAAAAAAAAAATCCATGGGAAGCAACTGACAGAATAAATCTGCTCCTAGGCATGTGTGATTGTTTTCCCAGCCCAAGAATAGTTGATGGAGTCATTTGTAGCAGAGGGGAGGAAAAAAAACACATGGCTTTCTCGACTTCTCTGGATCTGTGGGAATTTGAGATGAGAAGATCCCTGCCCACCCCCACCCTTCTGTTGCTTTTGTAGTTCCATAATTTTGCTTTTGTCTTGCGTTCAGTTCTTCCTGATTTTATGGATTAATGAGAAGGAATTTCTAAAATTAATTCTGAATTCAGAGCAGTCACAGTTGGCCATAGCATTCTGTTCCATGTTCATTAGCAGCTTTCTGCCCTTGTGTTTGTGATCCACATGATTGCCTTGGGACAGTGCCAAACATTCTTAAGGTGATCACATGCATGTTTGCATCAGTGTTCTTGTGATATATCTGAATGATGCGCACGTGTGCTCCTTCGCATCTGAAATCACCACACAAAGAGAATCTTTCTTTCTTTCTTTCTTTTGGGGGGTGTATTTTTGCATCTGTGCGTATGTGTGTGCATGCATGTGCATGTGTGCCCATGCCTGGAAGTCATGGCGACCTCTGGCAACTCCTACTGGGCATGAAGGACATTCAGAGAAGTGGCTCGATAGCCTGCCCTCTCCTCCTGGCCCTCGTATTCTCTAGAGGTCTCCCATCCAAGTGCTTGCCACGGTCAGCCCTGCTTAGCTTCCAAGATCTGATGGAATTGGGCTTGCCTGGGCTATCCAGGTCAGGGCACACACAAAAGAGAAAATTAATGAACCATACATACGGTCACATGAAGACTGCTTTTTGGCCGTGTTCCATGAAGGCACAAGGAAACCCAAGGGTGGAACATTGCTAATAAGCGGAAGGAAATAAAAGTTGGAACCCTAAGGTGCGTACGCAGTACTGTGTTCAAAATGTGATTTTTTAAAACAACAACAACAACAACCCAAAACATAGGAGACCCTGCTCTGAAGCGCTAACTACTACGCCTAGGGTAGCCAACCTTCAGGTGGAGCCTGAAGATCGCTGGGTATCACAACTGAACTCCAGACAACAGATCTCTACCCACCCCTGGAGAAAATAACTGCTTTGGAGGGTGGGCTCTATGGCATTCTATTCAACTGAGGCCTCTCCCCTCCCCAAACTTTGGCTTCCTTAGACTCCACCACAGAATATCCAGGAATTTCCCACCCTGGAGCTGGCAACCCTAGTCAGGACTGCCCCAATGAGTTCCCCACAAAAACCTGAAAAGGGGTTCCTTCCTTTGCATTTTTACTGACAGAACCAAGCTTGGTTGCCTAGCAACAGCAACTGAGGGAAAAGTTAGTCCCACTGGAGCTAAGAAGAAGTGTCTTCGTCAGGAGAGAAAGCCATTTTGATAGTTTATTTTGTGAGGAAAGAGT